TTTTTAATACAGAAACAGTAATTTTATCAGGGCCCAGTGCCCAAGGCAGAAATACAATGTCAAAGAACTGCAGATTCAGGGGTAGCAAGGTCTCCAAACCCTCTTCATGGGGTGGAGCCCCTCCCCTGTAGAAAAACCACTTGTCTTCCTAAAGAAAACACTCCCAAATCCCCGATACCCGCTTTCCTAAAACACCGCAGCGAAAATCCTCATTAGGGTTTCAATTAATTTCTAAAACCAAAGCACTACAAATTTCGCAAAGAGCACCACAACAAAATTCCTAATTAAGTCAGAAGTCTCGATACTTACCATAACCCTAAGGAACACAAAAATTCCTAAACTATACGTTAAAACAGTTTGTATTTGTTGCCTAAAGCGGCAATCGTAATTCCAATACACCATCATATGAAAACACTTTTAGAAAAACACAGATGAAAAATTGACCTAAAACCTACCCTAAGAAAGGAAATTAACAGGAAAAACGAAGAAGAAACTCTACTATGAACGGGAAGAGTATCAGTGACAAAAAAATTGAAAATCCAATGTCTATTAACCTCATAAGATGAAACAAAATGTCAACACCACTCGTCTTCAGCAAATCAGCACATGGCTTTCCTTGACAAAGGAGCAAGACGCTCAGGAAACCATAATTCCCCTGGCCAAGTGACTCAGCATACAGGAAACCCAATCCGTGCTAATCAAGGAACCTCACAGCTGTCTTGTTGGAAAAACCTCGGTAGTATCTATGTGTTGTTGAGAAATAAAGCTCTATATCTGAGATCAGCCGCGCCACTTGTCTTCAGCAAGTCAGCACATAGTTTTCCTTGGCAAAGGAACAAGACGTACGAGAAACCATAATTTCCCTGGCCAAGCGACTCAGCGTACAGGAAACCCAATCCGTGCTAATCAAGGAAGCTCACAGTTGTCTCGATGGAAAGAAAAATTTGGCAATATCAATATGTTATTGAAAAATAAAGCTCCATATCTGAGACCAGCAGTGCCAATCGCGCCCTGATCTTGGTTGCATATAGCGTATAACAGGAGAGATGCACCAGCGCGCCACACCCACCACCAGCAGGCACTCCTTCTCCTTGGGGCATGCCGGACAAGCTCCACATCCACAACGCATAGACATGGTTGCCTTGGGCCACTAGAGCCGACCAGGTATGGTGGCCTTAGCCTGGGCAAAACCCTAGCTCTAGCGCCAGCAACTTCGGGCACTCAGCGCTAGGTCACTTAGCGACGCGCCGCTGCTAGTGCCTCCCCTGGCGGCGCGTTAGCGCTGCAGTAATGCAGTGCTACACACCTATTTTTTTCCCTTTCTCCTTATCGGGGAATAGCTGCTCGGCCTCCAGTGCCCGACACATCTACAGCTACTTGAGTGGTACCGGCCTACCTGCCGCTCGAGTATTTTTCCCCGCTGCTCTAACTGTCGCATGCCTACTTCCGCTACCCTCAACGTCACGGCCACAGGTAAGTACCGGCCCTACAGGGCCTCCCAAGGAAGCAAGTACCCCTGGGGGTCACACACACACTCAAGCTGACAAGCACTCAGACAGGCACGCAGACCAGCAAGCATGCACGCACACAGACTTAGAAAACTCAGCAGAAAGCCGGACGGGAATCGCGGCAAGGCATTCGTTCTAGCGGCAAAAATCAGAAATCAGCTGTGTTCGGGCAGGTCCTTACAACATCGTGTTTTTTTGGGGGGGTGTGGGGGAGGGGGTGTCTTCTTCTGATTTCTGTAACATGTTGATGGGGACCCCCCATCGACATGGTGATACAAGCACGCATCTGATGTGGTTCTCTGCCTATGATGGCTCCAATCTATTGGAGGGGACCACCACCTGCTGTGAGACAGTGCCAGTGTCCCAAAATAGATCACAACAGAGCGATCTAGGGCAGTGAAAAAAGATAAAGAGGGCAGGATTAATTCTGCAGGATCTTTTACCATTGCTTTACTGCAGGATTAACTGCTCCATTGAGAAAATGGAGGGAGGCCTGGCTATAGCTATTCTCTCTCTCTCTCTCTCTGTGTATATGTATATATGTATATGACGATATATATATATATATATATATATATCGTCAAATAGAACTGCCCGGTAAACCGTAGGCAGAGAGGGAGAAGAGGACAACAAACGAGGGGTTATATATATATATATGACGTATATATATAATTCTTAGATATCACTTATCTAGATTCATCCTAGGATATAAAAGAGTGGAATATTAATATAATTCTAAAAATGACTATAGATATGTATATATATATCGTCATACATATATATATAGTCAAACAGAGCTGCCTGGTAAACCGTAGGCAGAGACAGAGAAGAGGACAACAAACGAGGGGCTGTGACAAACTGTTTCGTCGGAGTTTCACCGACTCATATATAGGTAGGGTTCAGCCTCCTGATGATTCGGTGAAACTCCGATGAAATAGTTTGTCACAGCCCCTCCTCTTGTCCCTCTCTGCCTATTGGTTTACCGGGCAGCTTTGTTTGATGATACCGAAAGGGCACAGCATGAGAGAGATTGGTTTGGGGAAAAAAAAACAAAAAAGAAGATTGACTTGGAGAGTGTCACATTCTGCCTGTTTTGGCTGTGGAGTGGGAAGAAAACAATTTTTAAAATTTAAAATTTTTATTTTAAACAAAGTCCAGGAGGGGGATCCCACTAGCCAGGTATGTGGATTAGTGTGACGGGTGGGGGACGGGTGGGGGACAGGTGGGTGGCAGCGTGAAATAGGGAAAATAAACGTAAAAAAACAAGGGCAAGAGTAACTCCATACACCATTTGCTGTAGGTGAGGGGATCGAACCCTCCCAAACACCTCCCAAAAAATAAGGGGGCACATGCATGTCAAAGGAAGAGGACAACAGCATTGCCCATGTGAAACATTTSCGGGGACTACAGACAACTTGGACGAGGGTCTGACACGGACTGACATTCCCTCATGATGGGAAACACTGAAAAATTTTGTTTTCGGCCTCTCTTCCACGCGTGGGCCACGACCCAAAGGTGAGTGAAAGGTGAGTGAAAAGCAACACAAAAAAAATGGGTCTGATTTTCACTCACGTTCGGGACCCCCCAGAGGAACACGGCAAGCAAAACAAAAGAAAGACCACCCAATGGGATGCTCCAAAAAAACATATATTTTCGAGGGCTAAAATACAGGAAAAACAAAACCACCGATCCCCATTCCCATCAACGGCGGAGGCGGGTCACACGCCCTCTACACTACTCCACATACAATGCTAGTGGGGTCTCCCTCCGGTTGTTGTACCGGCTGGCTACTAGGCATATACATCGAGATGGCGAGAGCAGAGTCCCAAGGAAGAAGAGGGGGAAGCAACAACTTGAAAATTGTGAAAAAAATAAAATAAAATAAAATGTAGTCATTGTTTACAACGCTTTATATTTTATTTTCTATTCTGGGCGGCGGTCACAGTTTGTACTAAATGCTTTCTTTTTTTTTTTTTTTTTTTGGGTAAAACTCAGACCCCTATAGTGCTTGTGATGCTGATGGGAACAGACACCACTAGCACCTGCGGACAGGCCCCATCTATTGGTGGGGGGCGTCACCTGCTGGAAAGCGGGTCCAGCGTCCCTTTGAGGATGATACATGTGTAGCACATCAGAAAAAAAGTAGGAGGATCCTACTATATGCTTTCTTTGCATTATTTATATTTTCAAATGCTTTTGCGGTTCTTCTTCTCACGGTCTTCTTCTTCATGGCTCTCTCAGCGCATACTCACACTAGCACTTCCCCAAATGTATGTGACTGCAATTACAGCCCGATGCATTACACTAGCACCTTCCCAAATGTATGTGACTGCAATTACAGCCAGACGTAGATGCATTTGACTGTAATCGCGTCCAGAGCTGAGCCAAAAGAGTCCTACTGTCTTCGCCTGGAAACATTGGCGGTTCAAATAGAGCGCATGCACCTTGTATTCGGATATAAGGGCTGTTTGAATAGAAAGCATATGCGTTGTATTTGAATAGAAAGCAACCTATGTGTTGTGTATTTTTTGCTTACAACCCATATACATTATGTCCGGACGAAGACGGTAGTCTGAGTATGCCCCTCAGTTTGGTTGATATCATTGATATGACCCTCATCATGACTTTATATGTGATTTGATTGTGCGCTTCTGAAGTTGGGCTCCCGATGAGCCGGCGAAACTCGCACAAACCAGTCTGTCCTAGTACCCCTGTTTCCAGAAAATCGATTGACGTTCTAACTGATCCCATTTTTCGTGTTGTCTTGTCTGCAGATGTCGACGATATGTCGACGATATGTCTCTCAGGGCAGTGGTGTGCAGAATGCGCGATTCTCACAGAGAATGGAGTCACTGCGAGCTTCTGAAAGGAAGAAGAGGCTGGTT